AAAAGTCAGTTCCAAATGGATCAAAGACCTCAGTGTGAAAAAGACCTCAATGTGAAGCCTGAAACTCTGAAACTGTTAGAACACATTGGCAATAACCTATAAGATATAGGTGTAGGAAAGGATTTTCTAAACTGGACATCAATTGCTCAAGAAACAAGGTCAAGAATCAACAAATGGGACCTCATTAAACAAAGAAGCTTCTGTACATCAAAAGAAGCAACCAAGAAAGTGAAGAGAAAATCCACAGAATGGGAGAAGATCTTCACCAGCAACACATCTGAAAGAGGTTTAACATCCAGAATATATAATAAACTCAGAAAACAAAGAATCAAGAAAGGCAGTAACCAATTAAAATATGGGCTAAGGAATTGAACAGAGAGTTCTCAAAAGAAGAACTAAAAGTGGCTGAGAAGCATCTTAAAAAGTGTTCAACATCATTATTAATTAAGGAAATGCAAATTAAAACCACGTTAATATTTCATCTTACCCCAGTCAGACCGACTAAGTTCAAGAGAACAAATGATAGCAAATGTTGGAGAGGTTGTTCAGAAAGGGGAATGCTCATCCACTGCTGGTGGGGCTGCAAACTTGTTCAACCCCTATGGAAAGCAGTGTGGAGAACTCTTAAAAGTACAAAGGAACCTACCATTTGACTCAGTTATACCACTCCTTGGCAAATACCCAAAAACTCATCCTGTTGCAGAGACACTTGTGCATGCTGCTCTTTTCACAATAGCTAAGAGATGGAAGCAACCTAAGTGTCCCTCAACTGACAAATGGATAAGAAAATGTGGTTCATTTATACATTGGAGTTTTACTCAGCAATAAAGAAAGATAGGATGATGAAATTTGCAGGTAAATTGATGTAACTAGAAACTCTTACACTAAGTGAAGTAACACAGACTCAGGAAAAAAAATGACGTATATTCTCCTTATATATATATGGGGTTATTTTAAGGGGAGGGGGGTGGGACGGTTATACAGGAACCTTGAGGATAAAGGGAAAGAAGGAGTTCAAAGGAGTTGGGACCATAGGAGAAAGGTATTTTTAAGGGAGAAATGGGAAAAATTGGGGCACTTTAAATGGGGAAAATATGGTGGAAGGGTTAGACAATGCAAGAGATGGATAATGCCCAGCTAGTTTTAAAAAAACAGAGGGAACCATATTAGTGCAACAACCTACTGACATACATACAACTTGCTCAAGGAACATAATATATGTCTAGGCAAGGTTTATCTGAGAACCTTTGGTCTTTGCTCAATCTTTATCTGCATAGCACATGGTAATTAAAAGTACCAGACTGGTAGAACTAACCTTCTTGGATGTTTAACAGCCATACTTGGAGGCCTTTACTAATTTGGTGAGAGGAACTTAAAGGACAGTTTTTGCTTCTTGCCCTCCAAGGTTCATTAAGTTCCAGAGGATTATGGAGCATCTTTCAAAATGACCTGTAACTGTTGTGGGTCACCTGTCCTCTTGATCAAGGAGGCCAATGAGACCCCACCAGATGGACTTGAACCACTGTCTAGTCTACAAAGAGGAGGCTCAACACAGAGGAAGCATTTCCTCCATGCTTCCAAGTGAAGCCATCCATGGTTGAGTAGGACCTTTGACTTATCTTCACATAGATGGAACTGGTAGAGAAAAGGAGCCAGGGGCTCCTCCTAAGCCCATGTGACCCCTGAGGAACAGATCCTCAAAAGAACTTAAGAGTAAAAATAAATTGGTTTATCTGGGCCAACTGCATGGTCTTAAACACTCTAAAGGAAAGTATAACCAAAGATTAAAGGGGTCAATGTAATTCATTAAGAGTCCATGTGTATAGCTAAAGGCTACATGACAAGAAACAATGCCAGACAGGAGATACCTTCTTTTGAGTTGTTGGCCAGGGTGGCCGAAGAGACTCCCAGACAGTAACCCAGCATAGAACTGAGAAAATGAACAGCAGACTCCAATCTTATCTAAAGGAATATTGGTAAGAGGATGCTGCTAGATGAGAAAGAGCCAATCTTCTAAAACAAGGAACAACAAATAGGCTGACTAGACTCAGTGGATGGATAACCGCTGGGGAATGGCTGGAGAAACTGACAACACAGTGGACAGTAACAGGGATGACAGAGTATATGGGCTTTGGCAGGGGGGGCATGGGAGGGTGTTACTTGGAATGTGGGTATATAGATGAATAAGATTGTTTAGGATGTTCTGTATGAAATATACACAAAATATCAATAAATAAATACATGAGTTATAGTTGAGGAAGAAGCATAAAAATTTGCTTCATGTTAATTAGTAGAGGTGAAAAAAATTATCATTGAAATCTACCTGTGTTAGGGTCCGTGACTCGGTAGGTCTCTTCAGGAGAACAAATGCACGAGTATGGAGATGCAAAAATCAAGCAGAGTTTTATTAAACCAGCTAGCTGGGGCCGACCGTCCTTCCAAGACACGCAGGTCTGGTTAGAGCGATCAACCCTGAGGCAATTTTGGTGGCACATGCCTGGCACTCAGGAGGCAGAGGCAGGTGGATCTCTGTGAGTTCAAGGCCAGCCTGGTCTACATAGTGAGTTCCAGGACATCTGGGGCTATAGGGAGACCCTGTGTCAAAAAGACCAAAAGAATAAAAGATTTTCTGAATGAAACAGTTTATTTTAATAATAAAATGGAGATCTTTTTTAAAGGTTAAAACCTCATTTAATTTTATATCTTGTAGGGTTTATGTTAGGTACAATATTGTATAACTGTATTAATTCAACTGTGAACCTAAAAATTTACAGCCAATTTTAAAAGAGATGCATCTTAGCTCTGGAAATTGTAATTGAATATGTCAATGCTGTTGCAATGAAATGCTTCTTCTAATTATGTGTTTATTAAATAAATAATTTTTTAAAAGAAAATATCTCATTCAGTATTCCTTGGGTGATACTAAGTGCTACTCTTAGAAAACCACACTCTGGAGGCAACTGGCATAATAGCTCTCCATCTTTCCCAACCTGCATCACCATGGTAACACAGAACTGCCACACCAAGGCTTGAATCTTCTACCAACCACATAATTTGCTCAAACAAAATGCCAAAGTAAATTGAAAAAATCTCAGCGTTCATTTTGTATATTATTTAATTTCAAATTCAATTTTGAGATATTGTAAGAAATAATAAAATTTATGAACATTTTTGTGCTGGATTTACATAAGAAAAAAATAAATGAATCTGAGTGGAGGAAGTGACAGTCTCTTTCAAGCATGGGACTTTTGGTAGGTTAGCCAGGCTCCAGTGATTGGACCCACATTGAAAGACATTTGGATTCACAAATTAGACTCTATAGGAATATATATGTATATATATATGTGTGTGTGTTTATATGTGTATATATATGTATATATATGTACATTAAATTGTGGCTCTAAATGCCATCAAACTGTATGAGAATCACAAAAATTCAGTAAAGAAAGAAAGAAATGAAGCCTGGGAGATAGTTCTTCAGGTAAAAATGCTTGCTGCCAAGCCTCATGACCTGAATTCAATTCCTGGAACCCATGTCACAGAAGGAGAGAACCAACTCCAACAAGTTGTCCTCTTCCACATGTGCTCCATGGCATGTATATACACACACAATAATAAATGAAATAAAATTTTAAACAAAAATTTATTTTTTAAATGAAATAAATGAGCTCAAACCCTAGTAAACAAGATATGTATAATATATTATGTAAGCTATTTACATAAGCACATTTCTATAGAGAAACAATTTCTCCTCATTTTAGGTGTGCATATCAGGCTCCACTGAGTCAAGCAACCATCAAAACTTCTGGGGTCTGGGAGATAGCTCAGTGGGTAAAGCACTTGCCGCACAAGTGTGAAGGACATGAGTTTGTATTCCCCGAAATCACATAAAACCAGGGTAGTGTGTGTCTGCAGTCAGTGCTACAACTGCAAGATGGGGGGTAGAGACAAAAAAATACCTGGAAGCTTGCAGGCCAGCTAGCCTGGAGTATGCAGCCATCAACAAGGAAAAAAGACTCTCGAGCAAGGACTGACACCTGAGATTGTCCTCTAACCTAAACTTGTGTACCATGGCATGTGTGTGCCCACACTGATACACAAACACAGGCACACAATACATGTATACATATCACATACACTCACACACACATGCACACACATTGTATGCACACATATGCATGCACACAAATAGGCTTCTTTTTAAAAGATTTCAATTCGGCCCTACAAGGTGGGAACTGAAGAGTGAAGATACCACCACTGCCCTTCAGGTGGCTTCTGTTACACAGTTACAACAGACATACAAGGAAATGTAGCGTTCGGGACTGATTTCCAAGAATACAGCCTCAACAGAACACTATTAAAATCAAGACATTTTGAGAGAAATGAGTTTCAAAAGTCAGAAGTAAGTCTTAAAAGTGAACTGTAGCAGGGCTGGAAAGATAGCTCAGCGGTTCAGAGCACTGACTGCTCTTGCAGAGGACGCAGTTTCGATTCCCAGCACCCACATGGTGGCTATGAATTTTCCTTAACTCCAGTTCCAGGGGAAACTGAAGCCCTCACCTGACCTCCACAGCATTGCATGACACGGGCGCACTCACATACATGCATGCAATACACTCATACACATAAAATAAAAATAATAAAATATTTAAAGAAAAAAAAAAGTGAACTACAGCTGATTTTCCTCTACAGATATCAGAATAAAGCAAAAGGATTGAATATCCAATTCCTACCCCAATTCTTACAAGAAACAACAGACAGGAAAATGCTTGTTTTCTGAACACTTCTTAAAACATTAGCTCCAAACCTTCTTGCAAAGACATTCTACAAAGCCAGCTCGTGGTCCCCAAAGCTTTCCCATGGTCATTACCTACGGCCTGCTACTATGGGCCAATCGGTAAGCAATCGTCCTCTTTCTTGTTCACCCGCCTAAACTCTCCCATGGGCACCTTCTAGAGTCTCCGTTAATGCTTTCCTCACGTGCATGGGTGAATGAATACCTTTAGTTCATTTGAGGGCCGGTGGTGAGCCGAAAGGAGCTGCAAGGCAGACGTGGGCGTGATCTGTTGCTAGGGGACAAGGTCTCTTACATCAGTAGTTTCTATCTGGACCTGCAAGCAAGAGAGAGAAAAAGAATAAGGGGCCAGTGGAATTGCTCACATGAACGCCAAAGAAGACGGGTTTTTTAATCCATACCCTAAAGGTATACTAATATCATTTCTTCCTCAAAACTATATCCATTGACTGACCAGAAGTGCCAAATTCAGTTTTGGTCAAAGAGAAACTACTCTCAATAATAAGCCTTATGCTGACAATATTGGATTGAGAAAAACCACAAATACAGAATTTCCACATTCAACTGAAATTGGTTCTGGAAACAGTTAACACAGAGTTATTCAAGAAGTAACTCCCAATCTTCATTCAAAAAAGCTGCCTTTTATCACAGAACAAACTTAACAATATCCACATCTTTTATTCCCAACAAGGAAAATATATGGAAATTGTGGTCATGTGAGGAGAAAGCTAAGAAGCCAACCTCAAGGGACCAAGAGTAGAAGATGGGACTTAAGGGTTCACACCCTCCTCAGCTTGTATTGAAGGACTTCTACCTATGTAACGTTATATCTAACATTATATCTGGGTCTGCGTTAGTCATCTCAAAGGGACAATGCCGAGCTGCCCAGAAGCCACTACATATGTGTTGCTTCACTGAGTCTGCTGTTCAAGACTCAAACCTTGGTTATGTATCCCAAATGAGAGGGCTAAAGATAGAAAAGAAGTGAAGAATTTAAAGACAGTCTTGACTTCATGACCATAAAGTGAAAATCATTTGACGGAATAGGCTATCGAGTCCTAATCAACTTATACCATGGCCAACAGAGCTATTCCCAACACTAGGCATTTTAAAAGCATGATCTATAAGGCTCACCAGTTCTCTACAAAGTGGATGAGCCTCAACAAAAACCTTTTCTGTAAGCACTGAAGTGAATTCCTTTCCGAGGTTAGATAAGGAATTGATGACAATTCTGAACCAAGTCCACGCAACATAATTAGCATATTAATTGACTACAAAGTGGGTTCTCAATAAATGTTCAACAGACTAAAGAACTCATGTACTGATCAGAAAATTATTAATAAGTTACACAATATATCTGTGCTGGATAGCTTTAGTTGCCAACTTGACACACCTGGGTTGAAGGAGCCTCAACTGGGGAATTGACTCCATTGGACTGGCCAGTGGCCATCTCTGTGGGGCATCTTCTTGATTACTGAGTGATGTGGGAGGGCCCAGCCCACTGTGGGTGGTGCTACCCCTGGGTAGGTGGGCTTATGCTATATAAGAAAACAGGTTGAGCAGGGGCAAGGGGACAGAGCCAGTAAGCAGCATTCCTCCATGGCCTGTGCTCCAACTCCTGCCTCCAGGTCCCTGCCCTGAACTCCTACCTTGGGCTCCCTCAGTGATGAACTGTGATCCCGGAGATGTGGGTCAAATAAATGCTTTCCTCCCCAAGTTGGTATTGGTCAGAGTGTTTTGTCACAACAGTAGAGAAACAAACTAGAACAATATCTGAGCAAGTTAGTCAAACATTGATTTAAAATATAGTAAAAATAAATCAATCAATAAATCAATGATAAATCTAAATGAGTGAAATAAGATTTCCTCTGATATGCTTATGCTCTCTTTTAGTTTTATTTTTGTTTCTGTGATAAAGTACCCTGACAAAAAGCATGTCGGGGGGAAAAGGGGGTTGTTTGTTTTGCAATTTCAGGTTACCTTCCTTTACTGCAGGGAAGTCAAGGTGGCAACTAAAAGCATCACATTCACAGTCAAAATCAGAGAGAAAGAATAAATGCACGGATCCTTCCTTCCTTGCTTGACTGATTTCTTAACACTAGGCTAGTTTCTTTTACTTTTGTATAGTCCAACACCCAGCCCATGAAATGGTACTATCTACAGACTAACCTGTTCTAGATAATTCCTCAGAGACTCTGGTCCCAGGTGGCTCTAGAGTATGTCAAATTGACAGTTAAACGCCCCCAGCACACATTGATCTGATCAGTCAATCTGTGCACCAAACAAGCAGCTGAATCCTACGTGAATGTCATTAGTTCTATTCACAGTTGCACTTTGTGACCTGCCAGGCCCAGTGAGCTCCGAGTTCAAATTCCACATGTCATTTTAGTATGCTCTTTAGCTACCTAGAATGAGACTTTCAAGAGCTTACTTTCCCCTCGGGTTAGAGGAAATTCAAGATGGTGGCTGTTTCATCAACCTACGTCCCTCAGTGATAACAGACACACAGAATGAGCTGTGTTGTTTAATTGACTATTACAACAGTGCACCTTAGCCCATACTAACCAATAAAGTGAATGAAATCCCAAGGTTCTGAAAAGTCTGCAAAATAAATTAAATTAGGACTATCTATCATGCACACTTATAATCACTGATTTTGCCCACTGTCTTGGTTTGTCTCTTCTCCATCGCTGTGACAAAACACTCTGACCACTACCAACTTTGGAAGGAAAAGGTTTATTTGTCTTACATCTCCCAGGACACAGTTCGTCAGGGAGCCCAAGGTAGGAACTCAGGGCAGGAACCTGGAGGCAGGAGCTGGAACACAGGCCATGAAGGATCACTGCTTACTGAGTTGCTTCCCTGGCCCCTGCTCAGCCTGCTTTCTTATGCAACACAGGCCCACCTGCCCAGGGGTGGCACCACCCACAGTGGGCTGGTCCCCCTCACATCACTCAACAATCAAGAAGGTGCCCCATGGACATGGCCACAGGCCAGTCCAATGAAGGCAATTCTCCAATTGAGGATCCCTCAACCCAGGTCTCTCAAGTTGACACTAAAGCTACCCAGCACACCCACTCCCACCACATGCTATGTACTTGTCTCCACCTGTCTCACCTTTTACTCTGGTCTGATTGGCTCCCTGCTGATACTTTCCTCTGAGATCCTTATTAATTTTACAAGCATTTAAAATTCTGTTGATGATTGCAATTATGCTGGGAATAGGGAGGAAAGAAACCAATTTCTATCCCACAGAAATGCAATACACAGTCTCTTAATGAAATTACATTAGAGATCTGGTCAAGAGATGTGAAATAACCCAAAAACTGATTTGAGACTCACATTCCTTGTGTGTAATCTGCAACTGTGCACTGGTGTTGACACAGACCTTTTAGTCTCAGAAAACTTCCTTTGCTTACTTTGCTTTAGATCGTGAGATGAGTGGAAGGTCAGGTGACTCATTGTCTTTGGAGAACCTGAGAAATTCCAGCTATGCTTACAAGGATTTCATTTTTTGTCAATAGGGAGCATTTTACAGAATTTCACATTTTTCTTCCATGTGGTAACAATAAGGATGATTGATAAGGCCTAAACTTTAACAGATAATTTACTGCATTAGTTGAAATCTCATCAACTCTGTGAAACAGCTCCTGTCCAGCCCAACCTAGGATACACATAAGAAATGTTATTTTACTTCTTGTTTTGTGTTTAAAGTATTAATTCCATTGGTCATGGTCTCTGAAAAGCCATTCATAAATAGATATATGAATCATCACAGCATATCTGGGTATAAGGGGAACCTTCCTTTTTTAAGAGATTCATTTTATTTTTAATAATGTGTACGTGGAAGGGGAGGTTGTGGACATGAGTGCAGGTGACAATGGAGGCCAAAGAGGACACTGGATTTCCCTAGAGCTGGGGCTACAGGAAGTTGTAAATTGCTCTATATGGGTACTAGAAACCAAACTCCAGCCTTCTGCAAGAGTAGCAGGTACTCTTAACCACCTTGCCATTTCTCCAGTCTGGGAAGTTTCCTTTTAAAGATCTAATAGCTCTCATCAAGAAATTCCAATGGACTCTGATATGAACATTTGAAATTTTCCCTGTTCTGATTTTTTTTTCTGGTTCCCTGTCTAGAACTTGTAATGCTAACTAATCTTGCCTTTACTTCTCCTTTACATCTCCACGGCACCAGTCAAGGACTTTCTTTTCTCCCTACAGATAAGAATTATGCAACTTGGGAGTCTTTTAGATAGACCCACTAAAAGGGTACCCCAATTTCCTCACCCTGCATCCCTGTTCAGCATGGAAGAAGCCAGAGTGGTCTGCGTCCCAATTCCCTACTGGCAATTTGGGTAACCTCTTCAGAGGATGATGTGGTAAGAATAGGAGATAAGAATTGGCTAGGCAGTTAGGGTAAAAAGACCCCAAAGAAAAGCAGCCAGTTTCTTGGCTAAAAGTCAAAATGTCCTTGGGCCTCTTAGCAACCTACTCTGTTCCAAAGGCCAAAAATGTCAAATGTATTTGGGAACTCTTATCTAATCAGGTGTTAGAACCTGATTGTCAAGGATCTGTAATTATTTCTTTTTGTTCTAAAGTCAAAGTTGTAATTTACTGCACAAATCATATAGCTTACTTACCAGGCCCATCTTCCTGTATTTCCTCACTACCCTATAACACTGGTTCCTTCATTCCTGACAAAATCACATTCCAATCAACAGGAAAAGACATTGTAAACAAAGCTCTGAGTCAAAACAAATTTTAACTCATTCAACATTTTTTTTTCTTGTGAACCTAGGGCTCTACCCATGCTAGTCAAGTATTCTACCACTAAACTACATCCCTGACCGACAAATGTTATTGAGCATTGACTTTATGTAGGGCATTGTCATAGATTCTCAAAATACTGCAACAAAATACAGCACAGTAAGCTCTGTGTGTGCATGCATTCATGTGTACATGCGTATGTCTGTATATAAATGTGTGCATGTTTTTGAATAGTGGGGGTGCACATATTAACCTGGAACTCTCTGATTCAGCTAGGCTAGCTGGCTAGCAAGCCTCAGGGACCATCCTCTCTCGACTTCCCCAGTAGTAGGATTTCAGGCACATACCACAGTGTCTGGCTCTTTTATGTAGTTGCTGGGAATCAAACTCATGTTCTCACGCTTGTGTGGTGAGCATTTTATTGACTAAATCATATCCCCAGCCCCAAACAAAAGTGAAAATTTTCTTCTCTTACAAATCTTATTTTTTAATAAGAAGTAAATGTAAGATTATCTCAAAAAAGTGCTATAAAGAAAATAAAAAAGGGTA